AAAAGATGAACATTTACTGCGAAGTACTAGTTTCATAGCACATTATACTTCCTTCTGTATCGTTAATAATCCTACAGGAAAAACTTCCAATCGATTGTTTACATAACTAATATTTGCACATATTTGCTAAACAAGCCTTTTAATTAGCAGCTTTGTTAAATTGCCAAAACACTTTTTCTAACGGGATGCTGTAACTTTTCTGATAAATGCTGCAACTTCAGCTATTCCAGCAGCAACACTGTTATTGTATGAAAACAGCATTTCCGCAACAATAATCTCTTGTAGATGTGATTTTGAACCAGGGCAGATGTTTCTCATGAACCAGTGACGCTAACCAGCAGGACAAAGTAAACATCAACAAAAACGACTGAAACATTTGAGCACGCAGTCCAAGAATAAAAACAGTTGTCCCATCTCGTACTTGCATCGTGTTTTGAAAAGCGTGCAGAGAATAATTTCATTTCTTCATTACCTACTAAAATACAGAAGAACACAGCTCATAATGAAGAAATGTATGCATACTCCATAAGTTTGCCAACACACAAACCAGGTTTGTAAGACTTTCTGTGGGATTACGTTCTCAGAGACCTACTTTCCAGGGGAAATTTAATCCAGTTGCATTAGTCCAAATGTTTCAGTAACAGGAGGGGAGAACCAAAGGCTTTCAAAGGCTATGTAAAAATCAAGACACTCATTTTCATTCAATTTTAATTCTGCCTGTGTCAGTCATATTTCTATTAGTTTTAATTTATATGTCGATATGATAACAAATTCTAAACCACCAGAAATAACACGTACTGACTGTGAAACATGTTGTAATTGGATTGGTATTTAAATGTTTTATTGTCTGCAAGCCAATTATGATCAAACTAAACTATAACAAATTAATTGTGGAATTTATATTTGAGTTATTAGATCTTCAGTAGGTTGTCATGTCTGAAGGGGGGTTAGAAATTCAAAAAAAAAAAAAAAAAGAAGTTTGTTCAAGTTGGTGAAATAAGTTACCCAAAAGTTTTTTTGTTGTTGTTGTTTTGTTTTTTTGCTTTTCACAAAACCACATCCACTTGAAGCAAATTGACATTAAGAAATAAATCAAATCAGATGTCGCTGTTGAGCTGGTTGACCTTGAGTAAATAAGTCAGAGGTCCCGAGCGTTTCAAGCTGTCCTTTTTTTATCTTTTGGCTGCCCATGTGGTTCACCTTCTATAGAAGTCAAGGTACTCTGGCCTGTGTCCCACGATCTATTTAAAACGTCCGTCCACTTTTGGCCTTGGCAACGCTCTTCCTTCACAGTACTCTTCCCAGCATGCTTTGCATGAAGATGAGCTAGAGGGGCCACAGTGCTTCATAAGTGTTACATCATTATTGAAACTTTGCAGGCTAGTATAATAAAAATCAAATCAATGGAATAAATCTAAAAAGACTTATTCCACAAGTTTTGTCTTTTTGCCTGAAGATATAATTGCCTGTTGCATTTACTCATTTATTGTATATGCAAATATTTCAAACAGTAAAAAAGCCACTAATAGAACAACTTGGTAAACTTAACAGGACAGTTCGTATTTCCACACTATTTTCCATCAAATGATACAGCTTTTCAGTAAGTCTGTCTGTCTTTGTGTGAATCTGCCATCTGCAGCAAACATGGTAAATATAAGTAAAATGCATACTGGTATAAGATAAATACTTTTTTAAAGTATTATTTTATGTTTTTGTATACCTCTCTAACCAAGAATTATATGTGTATTCCTTAAAATGATGTTACCACCGTCAGAGTAAAATCTCTAATACTTGAACAAACAGGAACAGAGACAATTAAAATGTTAATTATCCATAAGAATAACAAATCATCTTAACTAGAACTTCAGCTTGTTTGAGTTGCTCTAAATCATGTTCTTAAGTGTGTGTGTGTGATGTAAACAGTTTTAACAGTTAGGAAAATGAGAACGGGACTGCTTTCCAAATAAATGGAAATTCCCCATTGTTGTGGTGATCAACCAATGATCATCAACTAATGCTTATTTCTTAGGCCTGTTGTTTAAGAGCTCATTACGAAGAAGTAGATACCAGTAGTTACTTTATGAAAATTAAATCTGTGGTCTATACTTGCAGTTAATAATTGTATACATTAAGAAAACATCACATTAAATAGTTTTTCTTCCCCCATTATTCTATCATTTATGGCCAGGGTGAGCACATTTTCTTTTCCTTTGGGTTTTGTATCTGATAAGCAAACATTATACTGTTCATGACATGCAAACAATGTTTTAAACACTGCAATCTGACAAAACTGCTGCTGACCCTATTGGGTTCCCATAAAGTATTACCATCATCCAATTGCTTTAAAACATGTTTGTCCTACTGCTTCTGAATACTCTGCTCGTCAATCTATGTTGAGGGTTACGTCTCCATGCAGTTCCTGCTATTGTTCCACACCAGCACTTGTAGTAAAACCTTTACAGCTCTGCATTTCACTGAACCATAGCTAAACAGTCAATCTGTAAACATTCAAACACGCAAAGGAAAATGAAATTACATTTTTATAGCCTGTTTTTCTGGCATGTACTGTGAACGCACCTCAAATGAAGTCTGACTAAAAGTTAATTGTCATTTAGCATTTTGACGTCTATTTGTATCAAAATACAACACCGTGTAAAATCTGTGAAACTAATGGTTGCCAAAGCTCAAGGGTGACAGGGCTGACAAACTGTAGCAGCTGTAATGTTCACTTCCTCCCCCACCAAAGCACAGCAAAGTACGACTGTTCTATTTTGAGCGACTTCCTGAAGTTAAGTGTATTTGCTAATAACTCTCTTAAAAAAGCTTGATGAATGAAAGCTTAAAAAAGAATGAAATTGTTGAATGTAACTGCATTTTCCGCTTTTCATTTAGAACTAGGGTTCAAACAAAGTTCAGTCTGCTCACTTTAAATAGAGATGAAAATCTACAGCAAATGTAAATGTGGACAGATATGGAATACTTTTTGCATCAATTTTCATTGGCAGTATGACTTTCCTGTTAAGCATGCAGATTCAATCAATACCTTAGTGTACAGACAATGTAAATGATTCAAATGTCATGTAAATACTGATCATTATGACAGCTAGCACTAAATTCTAGTGGACTCTCCCCTAGGCCCAGAGGCAAAGTTTGAAGTACCAATTATGTAATTAAGAAAATCCCGTGCAAAAGAACAAATGTTTTAGGGCTGTGCTGACTTTTTCAATGAAATAATATTTCTCAATAAAATATAAAAGTGACATTACTGTTCGTATCAACTTAGTGGAATGCTGTTAGCAAACACAACACAAAATAAACAACAGTAGCCCCGTTCTTCCAGCTGCAGTTTGAATGCTGTCAGAGAAAAGTCCTCGCATTTTATTCATATATAATGAATAGGAGGAAAAAAATCAACAGCAGCTAAGAGTGATTTCATAATATCCTTGGAGTTCGGAGAGTTTAGGGGTTCACAGCTGTACAACAATCGCTTCCATGTCTTTTTCAGAAAGCAACATAACATCCTGTTGGGAGGAGCTGCCCCAAGAATTAAAAGAACACCAAGCTGCAAAATTTCAGAGTTATCTATGATCTTTTTGCTGTGGTTTGAAGCGTTTGAGAATTTAGAGTATTTAAGGTGTGGTGTTTGCACTTGTTTATAGCAGGGAAATCTGTTTTAAATTGAGCTTCAGTTTTACTTCTTTTAAAGTTTAGATGACAATAAAAAAAAACTTATGAAGACATTCCTACTTACAAACATCCTACAGAAACACATTTGTTATAGCAAAAACGATGTAGCAAAAATGCATTCATACACAAAACAACAAGTCAACTAAAAACAGTGACACTTTGTTAATTTAAAAGCTTTACTGTCTGTGCAAACTAAAATAAAGAGTGTTAACTAAATATTTAAAAAAAATGTTTCACTCCTGCAAAAGGAAATCTGTCATGCTGGTTTTCATGTCCATGAACATCTAAAATATTGGTGTCTTAAAAGAATATAATAATAAAGTGCAGTACTGTATCTACCAAGATGTGACACCCCAGAGCCTACACCAGCATTTTTCTTTCTATAATAATATTCAGCTTTTTCTCTCTTCCTTTCTTGATTTAATCGGACTGGACCCACTAAACATTAATGCCAATTTTCATATTTGGAAGAGAGCCACCTGCATCATGAAGGACCCCACTCATCCAGCACACACACGTTTTGCCCCGCTCCTCTCAGGAAGGAAATTAAGGAGCATTAAGTGTAGAACCACTAGACTGAGGAACAGCTTCTACCCTGAGTCTGTTAGACTCATGGATCTCTAACCAGAATAATCACTGTGAAAAATCACATCATGTTGCTGCTGATCTATTTCATGTTGCTGCTGATCTGTTTCATGTTGCTGTGTTCATTCATACTCATCTGCTCACACAGACTCATGTTTGTGCTGCTGTTCGGCGTATTGTTTTTATGCTATTAGTGCTTCGTGTAGTTTTAGTTAATGTTTTTCTTAGTTCATATCTTTGATCTTATTACTGTTTTTCTTTTACATTTTATTGTTGGATGTAACTGGGACCCTGTTTACACAGTTTCGTTCCACCATGTGGTGCGAATGACAAATAAAGAAACTCTGACTCTGACTCTCTCTGATATTTCCAGTGATCAATATTTCTGGCAGTTACTTAGGACATAATTTCAATAAAATCTTAAAACGAAACAACACCAACTCTAAGCTGCACAAAATACAAACAAATGTTCACAGAGGCAAACTATTCTTAATTAAAGCTTTTTTTTTTCCAAGCAGGAAAATAAGAAGTCAGACTGTTGTTAGTTGCTAAGCCACTTTTTTTTTTGTCTAAACCAGTGTCTCCAACATATGCAGAATATAGTGCCGTATCCTCTTCATTTTCTTGTTTTGATGCAAAAAGAATAATTTAAATCTAAATGTGGCAATCACAAAAAATGTTAAACTTGCTTGAAATTTAAGAAAGTAATCTGTCATGTCGTTACTCACCTATAGTACCGAGACTGGAGGTACGTTGAACACACTGCCTTGGACACATGACTGGCTGAGCCGAAGTCAATCACCTTCACCCTGTAGGGCTGTCTTACTGGGTCCACCAGCATTATGTTTTCCGGCTTGAGGTCTGCGTGTATTAGACCCATGCTTTTTAACTTTTTCAGAGCTGTAGCTACTTGCTGTAGCACAGGTCTGATCACTTTCAGGGGTAGCGGACTGAACTTATTCTGCTTCAAAAAATCATACAGGTTCTGCTCAAGCATCTCAAATACTAGGCAAGTGTGGCTCCGGTGCTGGAAGCATTCAAAGGCTCGCACCAGGTTGTGCTCATCTGCATTCTCCCCACTCAGACGAGCAAGGATTCCAACTTCAATTTGCCCCTGTCGTGCATATGAGGGGTGGTTCTTTAGGATCTTTACGGCCACCACCTCACCCGTCCCTCTCTTCCAGCACTTGACTACCTGGCCGAATGTGCCCCGCCCCAAAAAATCCAGCACTTCGTAAGTATTCTTCATGGAACACAGGACTTCGTGCTGTACTACCTGATAGTCCCCATCCCCTCCTCCTGTCCCTCCTGCAACACCTACACCGCCATGTCCTACACCCTGTTTAGAAGGTCCTCCTCCAACCCCAACAGCCGTCGGTGCCGTCACAGCTGCATTCCCCACATTTGTTGTTTGCAACATGGCAGGCAACAATGACAGTTCCTCCACAATCTGCATGGTGCTTCCTCTGTTATCCAGCTCCTCACTTTTACGTTTCAGCCCACATCGCTGAGAGCTGTCAGCTGAGTTCAAACCTTCACAGTCTTCCTCTCTGTCACCCTCCGCCCCTCCTCCTCCCTCACCTCCTCCACTGCAGCCCTCTCCCCTTCCTCCTCCTCCTGCCCCTGTTCCTCCACTGCTGCTCCCACTTTCTTCAACTGTCGGATGCTGCTGCTGTTCCTTGTGCTGTTGCTGTTGGATCACAAGTGGGCCTGGTACCCCTCCTTTGGGCTGCTGTCGTTGCACACCACGCACCACCACTGTCTGCACCGGGTACTGCTGTCCTCCACGCACTTTTAGACCCACTGCTAAGTCTCGGTTCACAAATGAGCGGGCTTGTTTGGTTGGATGCACAATGCCAAGGGTTCTGCTGTTCAAATAAGTCCGCGGGTGTGCCCTCTCATGGTACACACAACTGCTGGGCTCAACTTTGAGTTTCTTCACACTACTAAAGGCACTTGTCTGGGTTTGATAAATGTGTGGTGGGTAGACCAAGACTTGTGAGGCCATACCTGCAGAAAGAGAGAAAAGCAATGGGTTATCACAGCTACAAAAATAAGCACAGTCCATTTGCCTTGTTATACCAAATTATGTCATTAAAAAAAGGAATATACAAGTACAGAGCACACTCAAACAGAACTGTAAAGCATATTAAGCAATACAAAGCTGAGTTGATGTTAATCAAAAAAGAATTGAGTCCAGTTTGCTTACTCGAGTTCAAAAGGTTACCAGGAGTGCAAAAAAAGACACTGCCAATCCCATTACTTCATTTGAACTTCTCCCACACCAATGTATCACAATAATATTATTGCTGGTGACTATTTTTCATTTTAAATCATGATAAATTCATAAGGAAGAAAACTAAATGAAAAAAAATCAAAAACTGGGTAGCGAAAGGTATTTGACAATATTAAGAATATCTGCAACTGCAATTTTACAGTGTCAATGTTTTTCAGAGTGGGCGACATTGGTAATGCAAGCAACAGGAGCCACTGATAACACACTGCACTATTAAAGTGTATACAAGCGCCTTTATTCTATGGTAATCTATACACTTAAAAACATATTAGTCTCCTAAAAGTATCAATTGATCAATTGTGCTAGTTTCCAGATCAGTTTTATTTCTATAAAACTGCATTTAGCTTTGTAAAATTTGAAGTACTAAACAAAACTGTGCAGAAATAAAATATTAAGAAAGTACCAGTAGGTAAACTAATATTCCTGATCTTAACCCTCAAGGTAGCAAAACGTATCCAAGCCACAAGCTACTTGTACATTTTCCTTGCTTCATAAAGAAGAGCATCAAAGAAGCGGAGTATGTAGTGGAGTGCATCAGAACACCTTCGCCATTCTGTCCAACCAACTGCAATCCCACAAACACCTCCACACAGCAGATGACTAACTTCTCAAAGGTTGGCCTGACCTATTCCTGTCATTTTCATGCATCCTACGACAGGTCTCTAGGCAACCAATGAAGAGAGGATGAAAGACAAAAAGAGTAAAACAAAGTCAAAAAGCATAATCAGGCCCACGTGTCAAATTACTCAAGACATGGCTCACTCTTTTCTCTTCCTCTATAATTTGTATGAGCATGTACGAGTGGAAGAGAACTTCATACTCGTGAAAATGCTCAAACATTTTGAAAGTGACTCATCAGCAGGGGTGTAGTTTTGTTTGATGAAAACGGAATGCACCTAACTGTACGTGAACACGAATGTACACACCAACAACCATACTGTCTTTTTTTTTTTTCTGAGTGTCCAGTAATCTACGATGGCGAGCTTTTTGTCAACACAGTTACAAAAAGTATTACAGTCAATCTAACAAGTGACATAACTTTTCAAGCCTTGCACAACCAAGATCATTTGTTTTAAGCCTTTTTGGTTTTGCTTATTAAATAAGAGATGATACACCATTTGAGTATGGAGTTGCTATTTACAGGTTTGATGTAATACAAAAAAAAATAACGACCACAAATAAGTGCAGTGGTCAAGTTTGACAAAAGGATGTGACGTAGGCGGCTTTTATTGCTTTAAAGAGGAACTAAAAGCATCTGTAGCTACAAAGTATTTTTGTGTTAAAAACTAGACCAGCCATGACGCTCCTCCTATGATATTACTTCAAATTTTCAAACCTGTAAAGAATATATACTTGGAAGAAACAGGTCATGTTTGACTCAGGCCAGGTGAAACGAACTAAAAACAGACTTTACACAAATTCACTCAAAAAGGGCAGACATAACATCTCTAAAAAAAAGTTGACTTTTTAAGTTTAATGCTGATTATTAAAGGAATGAAAAAAAAGAACTAAAGGCTAATGGGGGGGGGGGGGGGGGGACTATTCTACTTCCTACATTTGTGCTTATGGTGCTTCATTTGACAACACAAAGCAAAACTGAGTTGATATATTAACCACAGCTAAGGCTCCAAATATCTGAGCTATAAATGTCTGCCATTCTACAGCAGATTAAAACTGGCCCATTAGGGATTCACACTTTTATCAGATGATAAGGAAAGCAGTCTTGTGTGATGCTTTCTTGTCATGCAATCATCCAGTGATCATTCCAAGCTGCACTGCTTTTTGCGCTCAAATTAAACTTGTATTTCAGTGAGGTAGTTCTATCTACTGCTCAGTTCACTTAAATAAGGAAAAGGACCAAATGGCGACACGTATACGCCCAATCTACATCAATTTTGTTTCCATGATTTGGGTAATGCATAAAGGTTGTTATCTTGGATCACATCTGTACAGCCAGACTACTGCGATACTTTCCTTCTGCCCTGTGAACTAGATTCTTTACGCTCATTAGATAAAAGGCCCTCTATTTTTTTTAAAGCATGTGATCCCAAGTTATTTGTGGAATTTCTAATTTTCTCTGAAAATACCATATCAAACAAGAAGGGAGCAAATACATGTACTTTTAAAATGCGTCATCGATCTACCACAGCCCCCAAATATACTTATATCTTAATATTTTGAATGAAGATTTTGTTTTGGGGGCTGCAGATTGCAAACAGCAGCATTTATTATTGCAAACAACTAAAGTTTGTAGCATATTTTATTTTTACTGTGCATGATGAGCGTGTGACTCTGTTGCTGCAAAAGCTTCAAAACAGCAAAACAGTGGCCAAGCACTACGGTATTCTAGGACACATTCTACATGTTTCGTCGAGTCACTTGTTTATCTTTGGACAGCACATGAACAACTTCTTGTAGTGTCTTCATGTGCCTTTATTGATGTACACCTTGTTTTTTTCAAATGGTGAAAGTTTTCTTTTACCATCTATAGCAATAACAGTTTTATTGCATATTTTAAAAGATGTGCCTTGTTGAGTTTTTTCTCTTATAGAAAAAAAACTTTATTTTACTGAACGTATCTTTTGTTTTTAAGAACTAAATTGTCACAGAGGCTAATTACTCTTAATGTGCTGCTGTGCAAGCTAAAGAAATGTATCAGCAATACACATTGTGTTGTCAAATCATTGATATGGCAAGATGACACTTTTTATGCACACAAAAAGTGGTGTTTTTGTGGACAATATGGTATGATTTGTCTCAACTATAACTAAAAATGCACAATAGATTTCAACACAGAATAGGCGTCATCACCCCTCATTAGGTCTTGTTATCTGAAGAAATTCTAAAGATTATAGACACTTGCCATAAACCTAAAAAAAAACTTTTTAATCATACAAATAACCTCAAAAAATGAGACATTTGTTCAAACAGTCATGAACATAATGTAGATTGAGAAAGTGTTGTTTTATCTTAATGGTGTTGGCCAAAAACATTTTTAAGGGTTATCAAAATCCCATGTATGAAGAAAATACTAGGTGCACAGCAGTACTTATGCTTTGTGAACTGTAATAGGAGTGTATGTCTTAAAAGATAAAAAAAAACATTTTCAATGCATCACTTTTGTAATCTAAGCTACAGCACACCATCATCCCGTCATAGTCGTCTTCCCATAAACTCTCACGCTGTTTGCCTGACATCTACACACAAACCACAAGATGACATCATTTGAATACAAGTTTTTAAGTCTGCCACAGCGCTACACAGATGACTGTGAGGTTCTGTGCAATAGAACGAGAAAAAACGAAGCACATAAACACATGAAAGCAGGGAAAGTACATTCTGAGTCAATTCCTCTATGCTCGTTCACTGCTTTAAACTGTCGTTTTAAGAGGGCCAGAACTTCAACAATGACCACTGCTAAATAAATAATTGCTAAAAAAGGCAAGCTTTCCTGCAAGTAAAGTTTCATACGATTTATGAGCAAAAACATCACAAACTGAGTATATAAATGGTACACTCCCTATTTAACACAAAGCCACCACATTTACTGTAAAGACCAAGCAGATTTTATTTTTAACTGTCTTGGTATTAGCTAGTTTTAACTTGTTTTTTTACCACAGAGCAGACAGCGTCCCCACTAACTCAGGAGCCAGGCAGAAGGAGAAATCCTACACAAAACAGGCTCTAGAGCAATGTGGATATCCTAACTGGGCCTTCCTGAAAGCAGAGAAGAAACCCAAACAGGACTCCAGTCAGCCATCAGGTGAAAAGAAGGAAACCAAACCTAGACCAGTGGTCATTCCATATGTTGAGGGAGTATCAGAGAAACTGAGACGTTTATTTTCTAAACACAACGTCCCAGTGGCTTGTAAACCCCAAAATACATTACGGCAAAGACTGGTTCATCCCAAAGATCCAGTCCTCCGGCACAAACAGAGTAATGTTGTGTATGCTGTTCAGTGTCAGGAGGGCTGTGATCAGTCTTACATCGGGGAAACTAAACAGCCACTGGCCAAAAGGATGGCCCAGCACAGAAGATCAACACCATCAGGTCAGGACTCTGCGGTCTACACTCATCTCCAGGCCAGCGGTCACTCTTTCAGGGATGAAGATGTTCACATCCTGGATAGAGAGGAACGATGGTTTGAGAGAGGAATAAAGGAGGCCATCTTTGTGAAAAGAAACCGTCCATCATTAAACAGGGGTGGAGGCCTCCATGTTCAACTGTCCCCCTCTTACAATGCTGTGATTGCTAGTATCACTCAGCCCCCTGTGAATAGTAAACAGCCATCAGTGTGCTAATGATCCATTGTTAGGCTGATGGTCCTTCTTGACCATGTGAGCAGCTGGTTTTAGTTGTCAGCAGCAAACTGGTTGATCCACTACAAAAATATGCTATTTATAAGACTGAGCTGAATACAGTACCTCAGATTGAAGAAGTCTTTCGGATGAAAGACGAAACGTTTCTATAATTTTTTGTTTTGTTTTGAATGTCCAGAGGACCAGATTAAACTTTTTTTTAGATTTTTCTCCCTGGATTATTGAGCATGCATCAGGATATTGTTTTTTACTGTTCTCAAAAGGCTAGCAGGTTAAGAACATAGTCAGGTTTTAGTCATTGTGTTGGCTTGTGGCCATACAGGTTAGGCAGACCGCAAATAAACTGTGCTCTTGACAAAAACAAACACAAAGTAATTTAAGAATGCCAGCTTACAACACTGACGTTGACCAGCATTTTTCTTCATACCAGCTTTATTTATAGAGCACTTTAAACACCTACAGGACCAACGTGCTGCACACATAACGAAACAGTCATATAGTCAAATAATAAAAGCGATTAAAATGATTAAAGGTCAACATCTCAGATGGTGTCAAAGGCCAGGGAGAAGAGATGGGTTTCAGAAGAGGCCTGTCTGATGCTCAAGGGAAGGTCGTTCCACAGTTTAGGAGTTGCCACAGCAAAAGCATGATCTCTGAGCTTACTGCCCTTCAGCTGCAGTTCTTTTCCAACCAGAAAGAGCTTTACAAAAACCCAATATTCTTACTGTCGTGTGTACGTTCCAATAGCATTAAGCGTTTTGGATGCCTTGTGCAAGTTCTTGGACATGTTAAAACTCAACACATGAGGGTTTTTTTTTTTTTTTTTTGCCTGATATGATAATAGATGAGCAACAGCTGATGCTGTGTTTTTCTAATCTGGATCATTCAATGTGGCTAAGCACATTTAGCTGAGGTGAATACAAAAATAAAACTAAAATGTTGATTTTTACCAACAAGAAAAGGATGGAGCTAAATGGAAACAATAAAGGAGTGCTCCAGTTCAGCATGGTTGAGCCTCCTGAGTTAGGTGGTGACTGAAGTGAAATAAAACTTACCACTGATCCATATTGTCCATTTAAGGTAGACTAACAGTCAAGCGAATGAACGATGTGTAGAAAAGGAAAAAAAACTAAAGCAACGACAAAAAAACGTAAAAAGACTGCGTTGCTGTTTTTAATGCTGTCGCGTCGGTTAAAAAAAAAAAACAACAACATTAAAGCGATTATGAACGCTGTTTGACAGTAAATAATAACAATTATCCTCAAGTAAATGGAAAAGCCAAACTGGTGACAGAGCTGGTGTCAAATGAAAACAGTTCAGACAGCCAAACGCTCGCTAGCTAAGTTTATAGCCAAGTTATGACTCAGTAATACGTCACGTTCAAAGTGTCGTTTCGTAGGTTTTGCTCGACAGACACAACCATCGCCAGCCTTTAGTCAAGCACTTACCTTCACATAGAGTCGCTTTAAGTCAAATCCAGGGCTTCTCTGAGCATGTTATGGACTTATAAATCCATAGCATGCACAGTTCGCCTGCATTGCTGCCATCTTGTCCTAGACGACAGGAAGGGAGAGCTCGCTCTCGTTAACGCCACCATCTCCCACATTTCAAACATGAAATAACTCTTCCATACAAGTGTCCCACACACCGAGCCCGTCTTGTGATCACACGCTTCAAACTCTCGTCCTTTCACTTCTGGCGTCGGTGTCCATGTCTGAGGGGATGGTCTGTTACCCCCGTCTAGACGCGCAGCACCGCGGCCCTGCCAGCCTCGAACATGTCCCTTTCCTCTAGCAACTGCAAGCGAATGTTTGTGGACTGGCGACGGCATCGGTCAGACCTCACTAATCCATCACAGAGCAAAAGAATCTTTGAGAGAAAAAAAAAACACAGTGTAGCAAAAATTAAATAAATATTGGAAACACAATTTGTTGTTCTGTGTTTATTTTTACCTTAAACAAAATATTCAGTTTGTGTAAAGAAATATCAAATTACAAATTGTCTCGTTATATTTATTAATTATCATGTTACAACAGCAACTGCAAATGTCGTTAACATATACCAGAGGCCCTTTCTGATGCAACCGGGGCTCAAACCAGCAACCTCTGGATTACACACCACGATATTGGTGATGCATTTTGGAAACATTTTATTTTGATGTTGGAGATAATATTGAGTAAACCTTGAAGCAAAAAAAATGGGGGGAAAAGGGGTTTTCGTTCTAAATTTCATGTATTCCATTTTTAACTGTTTCCATATATATCCAAACATGTATACATTATTGGGTAAATGTACAACTTCAGTTTCTGAAATTTGCCCATGTCTAACTGTTTGCCTGTTAGTAAAGTGAGACATTTTATTAAAGTAGACTGTTGTCTGAGAAACCAGCCGTAATCTAACAATTTTCAGTCAGGTCATCTGGACAGTTTTTTTTTTTCTGAAACGTTTCACCTTCCATCCGGAAGGCTTCATCAGTCAAGGAAACAACACAAAACTGATTCTTCCCCCAAACAGCTTACTCAAACCAGTTGTTTGTTCCACGTTAGAGTAAGCTGTTTGGGGGAAGAATCAGTTTTGTGTTGTGTGTTTCCTTGACTGATGAAGCCTTCCGGATGGAAGGTGAAACGTTTCAGCAAAAAAAAAAAAAAAAAAACTGTCCAGATGATCTGACTAAAAAATTGTTGGATTGTACATCTGGATTATTGAGCATGGACTTTTTTTTTTTTTGGGGGGGGGGGGGGGGGGCAGCTGTAATCTAATTCACTAAAAGGACATAAAAGGACAATTGTCTTTGTTAGTCCTCATCTCGACCCCCCCACCACCACCACCAACGACAACAACAACAACAATAACAAACCACTAGGCCTAGTCTGCTGGAAAAGTTAGAGCACCTCTTGTCCAACCTGATTTATCATGAGCCAACATTGCTGGCAATATAAAAGTAAGATGGAGAAAAAATTCACAGGCTCTATGGTCTTTTTAGAAAACCCTATCACTGAAGAGGACCTCAAAAATCTAAGTTTTTAAAGTTGTGCCCACTAAAACTAAATCACATAAATAATTATGCCAAATATAACAGATGTTCAGCCTAAGGAAACAATAATGATATATAAGCTTATATTTATAACAAATACAATGTTGGATTATTACAGTTTTTTTTTTATGGGGAAATAAAAAGGACTTGTTTACAAGTTGAAGATAACTGCTCTGGAATCGTCTACTCTGGTCTGTTTGGACAGTCACCAGGAGCGCGCTCCTGGTTCTTATCATCTGTCTCCCTCTGTTGGACAGCAGGACGGTGTCAGGCCTGATCTGTGCAACACCTCACTTCTTATAGATGTTTTATTTTATTTTAACAATTGGAAAGTATCAAGCAAAGTTCCACTTAATAAAAAAAAGTTATTTAGATCAACCCTGTTTTAGGGCAAAAATATAGAACTCGTTTGGTGTTCCAGCTCACATTATGGGAACTATTTGTCTAAAATAAGCAAACTAAAGTAAAACTTTATTTACTTTAAAACGTAGCAAAAATCTTTATAAATTGAAAAAGCCAGGATAACTTGGGGTATAGGTAGAGACAAGGATCCTCCAACTATATAAAAATTGTCATACTAATAATAATAATAACAACAACAACATTATTGTAATTATTATTATCATCATTATCATTGCCATTATTATTATTATTGTTGTTGTTGTTGTTGTTGTTGTTGTTATTATTATTAATGTATAAATTTGCAAAATGTACAATGAATCACTGGGAGCAGGTGTGTGAAAGAAACCCCATTTCATAGTTTATACACAGCTGTAAATACGTTTTGTCATTTGTGATCATTGTACATTTTATTAAACATTCTACACTGGTGTGACATAGTCAGTTCTTTTTCTAACACTGTCATTATTACATTTGTTTGAGTCATTTCATGTTATGTCTTGTCTCATTTTTGCATGTCTTGTGGTTTGGTCACCCTGTGATTCCCTTTGGTCAGTTTGTTGCCCTGTGGCTCTATGCTGTCATTTTATTTTAGATCATGACTTTTTTTGTTTGCTTTGTTTTGTTATGACATGAAAATAATTTGATTCCTGGCTTCTGAGGCTATAGCTCCCTTTAGCAGTCTGGAACCTCTGGCCAGTTGTGTGATGGTTCGGAATATGCTAAAACTAAGCCTCCAGTTCACCACCGACCAGTTCACGTTTCAAATCAGTTTTGCTTGTTCAGTGACTCATCCGCTGAGACGCAGACCCTGGTTATTGGCAGCTCCATAGTACGAAATGTGGCACTAGGGCAGGGCTATTCAACTAAATTAATCAGGGTGCCACAGTTACTGAAACCAAGAGCTCAGGAGCAGGACATCCAGCAGTTATTGTCATTAAGTAAATTTGTTTTATGGTTTAAAATCTAGTTTTATTTGAAAATGAACCCATTGGTGGGCCAAACTGAGCTCACCAGTGGACCTGATTTGGCCTCCGGGCCACCAGTTGAAACGCCCTGCACTAGGGATTCCATCATTCCAGCGGTCATAATTAAATGCATTTGGGCCAAAGCAGGCAACATTGAATCCTAAACTGCTGGCTAAAGCTATGGCTAAATACAGAAAAAGCTGTTATTCATGTCAGCAGTAATGACACAGTTACGCCAGTCGGAGGTCACTAAAATTAATGTTGCTTGAGTGTGTATCTTTACTAAAACCAGGTTGGACTCTGTAGTTTTCTCTGGTTCCCTCCTGACCAGCAACAACATGTTTAGTCATCTGTTGTCATTCCACCGCTGGATGTCCAGGTAGTATTCTGAAAACAACGAGGGCTACATAGATAAATGGAGTGCTTTTTGGGGAAAACCATGATCTGATGTGGAGAGATGGCATCTATCCCAATTTGAGTGGAGCCGCTCTTCTTTCTAGAAATTTGGCTAATTTTGTTAGACCTCCAAACTATTGACAACCAAGGGTCCAACCCAGGAAGCAGAGCTGGAGCTCCTCAAGCTGACAATGTCTTTTGGATAAAAGATGAAAAGTTTCAACTTATTTGTCTTTTTATCCGTCCAGAGGACCTGATTTAACTTTTAGATTTTACTACCTGAAGAGTGGCCTTTTATTTTGAAGGAAGCATGCCGACCGGAAGTCTTATTATCGCTCTTTCAACTGCACCGGAACACCTCGCCATTTTAGACATCGGTGAAATGAGCGGTTGAGTGTGGCCTCCAGGGCAACGTGATCGGTCTCTACAAAGTTATGCCGATTACTTAGTGGGAAAATTTTCCGTCAAATTATTATTTGGTCGTTAATCTGTCTGATAGCTTATTATTAGGGTAGCTACTGTTCCAGCCATGGCGACGGAGGTACCACCAGTCGACAAGGTAGCAACATGCAGTTTTACTCAAGGCCAAAAGCGTGACATCTGGGTTTAATTTGTTTTATATTTTAGACCGTTAAAACTATTGAGCCTGCTTTAGTTCATTAATTTTAATTTAACATATTTTTCTCATCTGCAGCTAAAATCGTTCAGTAACGCAAACGGGTTCAAATGTGTGCTTGTTTTGTGTGTCCTCGTCGTTCGCCATATTGGACTCAGCTAAAGCTTTTGTCGTAACTTAACGTTGCTGTAACTATCACTTTCAAGCTGACTTTAGGTCGTCCGCCTTTTATTATAACTTTATTATGTGGATTCTACGTATTGAATTTAGTTGGACTGTACCTATGCTGTTTAACGGTGCCAGCTGGAAGGACCTAGCTAGCTAGCGGGAAAATGGTATTCTTTTGTCGTTCAGTTTAGTCTCGCCAATTATCGCGAGATTTGGACAGTCCAATTGGCTCTCGTGTTATTTGGTTTTTATGAGTTATTAATGAATGTTATGGCCACCCCAGTTTTATTGGCCATCTCACCACAGTGTTGTGGGCTTTTGTTTAGTTCTATAATGTTTGTGTGTTTGTGTTGTCTTGCAGGCGGCAGCAGAATATGTTCCTGAGAAGGTGAAGAAGGCAGAGAAGAAGTTGGAAGAAAACCCATATGACCTTGACGCATGGAGCATTCTGATTCGAGAAACACAGGTTTAGTGACACAGAGTTGTATTCCTGGGGTTAAGGAAAAATGGGAATGAGGGAGGGGGGATTTTGGGTTAAATTTTTGATCCAAAAGTTATGAATATTTTCTTGAACCACATTATTGACAGTGCACTGCATATTGAATGTTAAATAGTGTGGAATGTAAATGCATTCTCCTCCTTTAGAATCAACCCATAGATAAAGCAAGGAAGACCTATGAACGACTTGTCTCACAGTTTCCAAGTTCTGGCAGATTCTGGAAGCTATTCATTGACGCTGAGGTTAATATTTTTCTTTTTATCTAGAGTGCATGACTGGGACTTATTCTAACACGATCAACAATCTGATTTTCACACAACCAAAATGTGTCTTCATAAATGAAATTTAAAGTCACAGTTCTTGTTGTGAATTGATGAGCCTACATAAATACAGTTGTTAAAGGTACCATCCTTCATCTGTAAAGTTTTTACTGTTAATCTGGAAAATGTTTTTTTGTAGTTGCCCTTTAAATTATGCATTTAAATATTACCTGGAATAAACACTTGACAGTCACATTGCAGTGAGGCTCTATCAAAGGTCTGATAAGAACTGTGCCTTTAAACACAAAGGGTAATTCAGCTTTAAACTTTTTTTTTTTTTACATAATTATGTTTTCAGGTTGAAAGACTATCTTTTTCTGCGCCATATTTAAATGGGGTAAATGCATTTGTTGCATGTTTGGTCTGCAACAGTATTAAAACTATTTTAATGGTATTGGAGTGCATTAGCCTTTTATTCACTTGTCGTGTCAATTTATTGCCTCCTGTGTCATTTCTTTTGGGTAACTTCATAAAGAAAGATCTTGATTGTGTGGCCCATTCTTTTCTTGAGACGTTTCTCCCTGCTCCTGAATACATGACCTGTGACCCTGTTGCTGCCAAGGACAAGCTCTGCTCTAAAGCAAATTAAAATACATTTTCTTACACCTGATCATTCGTCCAAACTCATTTTATTGCTTGGTAGTTTAGTTCTGCAGATATGTAGTGCCCCTTCCTTTTCCACTATGATTTGTGGACTTGGGTCATAAGTTAGGCTTCAGCCATTAGAATTTTTTTTTAGTTTGTTAGCAGTAATAAAATAAAATATAACTTGTGATTTCATCAATTTTAAAAACGCTGACACTAGAATACATTCAAAGAGCAACAGATTTGCTATAACAAGTAGAGATGGTTTGCACATGAATAAAATGCAGCAAATAAAGTTATGAGTAGTTTTTTTTTTTTTTTTATGGCTAGAGAAAATTCCTTACTGTAGCACTGGGTTAAATTCAAAATCGGTTTACCGTAGTATAAAGGTGTAATTTCTTTAAAAATTAGTTTAAACAGAACAGTTTATTTTATTGGTCTTGATAGATATTAAGTAGATGTTCAATATGTTGTGGCTAAATAGAACCTGAGCACACAAGTGCAATTAGCAAAAGATGGTTAGCTTTATGTTTGGGGTCACAAATAGAACAAAACTACATGTATATATAAATGCTTCCAATTTAAACTTATTGTCCTGAAACTTTAGATTCTTAAATTTAAGGCAAAAATAGATGTACACTTATATTTAACATATTTTCAAAACTTAATCATTTCCCTATAAAAATTCAAACCCCTAATACTTCCCACACCTCAACATCAGTTCAGTTTATAAATTTCCCACCAAGGTTGCTGGAAGAACAGGCTTCATATATGGAATATTAAGATCCTTAACGATTAAATGATTAAAAATGCCACTTAAAAAAATTATTTTCCAATGCATTCCCTTGACAAAATATTTTAGCATCAAGTAATTCCAAGTAAAAATGCACCCCCCAGTGGTAAGTATGAATATAAGCTCTCATTTCTCCCTCCATCCCCACACACACACACACACACTGAGATTAACATTTTGAAACAGGAAGTTGGTTCTTTTTTTTTATTTTTATTTTAGGTTTACAGCATACAAGTTCTTGTTTGCAACTGTTGCTTTCTGGACAAATGAAGGTTTTTGTTTTTTTTGTACTAATTTCCCAAACACAATCTTTGTTTTTGGTGCAGTCTGCTATTTTTCACTCACTGATTTGGACTTGGATTAAAAAAAGTGAATGGCATGAAAATGAGATGGAAGAGTATTTAGAGGCAACTGCACACGTCTTAATACATTTTCTGGGTTTGCTACATTTTTGTATGGTCCAAACAGAATTTGAGTCAAACAAATGTTTGACCTTTTGAAGATGATACATTGATCATCTAAAAAGTGGGAACCAAATATTAATTTTTTGTTTTATAATTTCTCCACATCTTCATGCCTAACCACAGAACGCTTTAGCTGTGAGCACATCGAGTAGTGGATCCAATGACGTTACAAGTTCAGTATCTGATGTAAATAAAAATGTTTTGGTATTTAAGAAATTACCCATTCACAAAGAAGTTGTCACTGCATTTGTAGTTTAAATTTTCACAACTATAGAACAAATTTCTAATGAAAACAATGCAGTTTGGATATTTGTTTCCTACCATCTTGTCTGCTGCGTAAACTTTAATTTTGGGGAGGGTTTTGGACAGCGGCAGTCATCTTAGGTTTTTTTTTTGTTTTTTTTGTTTTCATCGTCACTACAGTAAAATACTTGTTGCATGATCAAGAGTTTATTTTCACATCTTTTGACCAAAAATGCATTATTCATGGGAAAGGAGTACAATGGAAGCAATGCATGTTGTTGACTGGACGAATTAAAATGTCAATTCACTCAAACGAAGACTCTTAGAAATAATTCTTAATTAAATAATTTCCTTGTGTGTCCCCATCCTTAACATATATTATATTTATACTTTATGTGCTGTGGTACTGAGTGCAGTGCACACAATAAAAGACAAATGTTTATTTTGGCACTTTGTTTTACATTCTCAAAAACAAGCCTTTAGTTTTGAATTTTTACTACAAATGTGTTGCGCCTCTAAGTCCAGACTGCAGGTCTAAGTGAGTAGACAGGAGGTGTGGAGAAACAGCTGATCAGTGAGGCTGCTGTCAGGTGTTTGGGTCAAGGGGATGTGCCAATCATTTGTTTACACCTACAGCAAAGTGCTCGTCCTAAAGTCTCAGAATGCTTTACTCCAGCCTAACCTCCTCCCATGCACCCGTTCTGAACGCTGGGACAAGATGGCTCGAACCACACAAGTGTGGAGCGTTAACGCCACAGAAAGAACAGCCTCTTCTGTCGGTGCTGAAAAGAGCTGTTTTCCAGAGGAGCGTGCACAGCTGGAGCTTTTCAGGAAGATTTATATATATATATATATATATATATACATTGTTGCAGATTGGAAACCTTAACGCCGATTTATTTTTTTTTCTTTACATTTACAAACTGCTGTTTCCTGGCAGTGTTTTTGTTGGTTGTGTAGCACAAATATATAAAAAAAATAATAAACCCCTTTCTTGAAGTGATTTTTGTCATTCTTGTGTGAAATTCACTTTGTTGATCTGCAGGGTACTCCGTATGTTTGCGAGAATGTGTGTGTGCGTGCAAATTTGATCTGCATGAATGCATGTTTCATATAAATACATTTGAATTGACATTGCATTTACATCCCTTTTTGCAGATCAAGGCAAAAAACTATGACAAGGTAGAGAAGGTATGTGTCCATAATGAAATATTGTTCTATATTTTCCAATTGCTGTATAGTCACTCTATAACTTTTTTAAATGATCTGTGAATGCAAGTTTAGAATTCAATATATGCGATGTTATACTTGCTACAGTTTGCTTCATGCTTTTAATATAAAATGAAGTGTAAATTGTTGGTATTTTACCGTTTTGTTTTTAACTGTAATTTATTGATGTGTAAACTCATTTTCTCTTTAAATAAAACCCATCTGTCGTCAGATGTGTACTTATTTCAGATTTGCTTGTTCAAACTAGCTCACAAAACTGGAGGCTGCATCAGACACTCGTCAAATGAAACCGATTTTATTTTTACAGTTCTGCATAAAAACAATTTAGATGAGGGTTTATGGTTTTGAAGCTTTCAGTGCAGTTGTGCATCTTTGCCACATCTAATACCTGACCTGTTTGCTGTTAGTCGACATGTGTTCACAATCAGGATGATATTGAATTTATAACATTTTTTCTGACATTTTTACACGTTTAGTTGTTCCAGAGGTGCCTAATGAAAGTGTTGCACATTGACCTGTGGAAATGTTACCTCTCGTATGTTCGCGAGACCAAAGGAAAGCTTCCCAGCTACAAGTAAGAAGACGCACTGATGTTAAATGTGTTGATTTAGCTTGAAAATGCACATTTTACATCGCATTTTAACCCTCCTGTTTTCAGAGAGAAGATGGCCCAGGCGTATGACTTTGCCCTTGATAAGATTGGCATGGAAATTATGTCTTATCAGGTGCACGAATAACTCAGATCTATCACCTGCACCAGTAAACACCGTTTGTATTTGCTGTTCCCTAACTTGTCATTTATTCTCTCAGATTTGGGTGGACTACATCAATTTCCTCAAAGGAGTGTAAGTGTCAATTATTACATTTTTTTTTTTTATTGTAGCACACGACTTGAACTGCATTAGCAATTTGAATTTTGTGCGTGTTGTTTTTGTGTTTAATCAGCGAGGCTGTGGGCTCATATGCAGAGAACCAGAGGATCACAGCAGTTCGGAGGGTGTACCAAAGAGGCTGCGTGAACCCCATGATTAACATTGAGCAGCTCTGGAGAGATTATAGCAAATATGAGGAGGCAAGTGACTTAAAATACACCCCTCCTGTTTCTGCTTAAACTTTGTGAACTCTTATTTCTACACATATATTTCTATAGATAAATGATTTGCATGCAACAAAATGAAAAGAAAACTTTAATAAAATACTTTATTATACTCCTATCATTTATTACATAAGTCTGTTTGGTAGCTTCTGTTATTAGTGCTTTAATTTCACAGTGAAACTGGAGTCGAGTTTAATTAATATTGTAGCAGCACATTTTATTTTGAAGTCCAAGTCACGGTTAGACCGAATGGATTTAACAGGAAAAAATAAAATAAAATTTTAAATGCTGCTGCCAGCACATGATCTTTTTTAACTATTGCATAGACAAGTCAGACAGCTGCAAGAAAGAGTGCAGGTCAGCTCAGATTAAAATAAAATATTTGCTTCATATGAGAAGCATAAAGAATCAGGAGGTGGTGTCGTGTATCGATGGATTCTAAAGGGAGAAGTCGTCCGGCTAACGATAAGCTCACATCTCAAGAAAAGAAAAATAGACTTAAAAGATTTTAACTTTTTTTAGGATGGCCATGTGAAAAAGAGAATGAAACGCTGACATCTCAGTAACTGATTTACACTTTACCTCACATACTAAAGGATTGTTTTATATCGGCTTTTATTGGCTGTTTGAATATTTGTTGTGATTTTATGTGACATTTGAGAAGCTTAGACAGGTTTATAAGTTTTAAAGTGTCACTGTACGTTTGTTGCTTTGAGTTTCACATGTTTAAACGTAGGTTTGAACTTTTATAAACAGGGAATTAACGTGCACCTGGCCAAAAAGATGATTGAGGACCGAAGCAGAGATTACATGAACGCACGGAGAGTGGCTAAGGTGAGACATTGAACAAAAAAAAAAAGCACCGGCCGGATTGAAATACTGTTTTTATAGAATGACTTAAGCTGATGCATGTGTTCGATAACGCAGGAGTATGAGACGGTGATGAAAGGCTTAGACAGGAACGCACCTTCAGTGCCGCCACAGAACTCCCCTCAGGAGGCGGTGCAGGTTGAAATGTGGAAAAAGTACATCCAGTGGGAAAAGAGCAACCCGCTGCGCACAGAAGACCAGACCCTCATCACTAAGAGAGGTAGAAGCTCATTAGAGCTTTCATTTTGTCTGTTTGTCTACAAAAAACATTGTTTACTTATGATTGTTTGTAATAGGGATGCATAATATTGTTTTGTTGTTGTTGGCTGATATCCGATATGCCGATATGTTAAAACTTATTTAGCCGATAACAACATCGATATTTGTTTTTTCTTAGACCTACTTACAAAGACTACAAAGCTTTCTCTACTGTGGAATTAAAATACTACATTATTCTACATGGTCTTTGTCAATTTGGCCACCTAAAGATGCTAAAAATGGGGCTGAAAATGATGCAACACTTCAACTTGGATTATGTTTAATGTCAAATGTATTCATGACATTTACTCTCCAACACAATGGCAACACTCGAACAGTGCAAATTTGTCAATTTTCACAAATCTGAACGGCGCGCGTGATGTCATAACGTTGTGCTGGTGCTGCAGGCATCCTTGTCACTGGGTTATACAAAAACAGCGCCTTTTATATCGGTGAGTTATTTTGATGGAATGTCCGATGTTTAACTTTATTGCTAATATTGGCTGATACCATGCCGATAATATTGTGCATCCCTAATCTGTAATGGTCTTTTTTGTAACATTAGATGTTGGATGTAGCTGTGGTTGTTTATCTCCTCTAGAAATGCAGCCACTAGAGGGCCTACATTGACCTTATTTTTGTGAGGGGGTTTGATGCTGCTTGTTTGTTGTTTGAATATTTCTTATGTGTATGTTGCAGTGATGTTTGCCTATGAGCAGTGTCTGCTGGTGCTGGGCCACCATCCTGACATCTGGTATGAGGCAGCTCAGTACCTGGAGCAGTCCAGCAAACTGCTTGCAGAGAAAGGGGTAAAAATTAAATCTTTACCAGATCAGATTTAAAGTGAAATTACCCAAATTGGAAATATATTTTTAGAAAAGGTCAAACAGCAATATCATTTTTGGATTATTGTTTTTTTTCCCTTTCAGGACATGAATAATTCAAAACTGTTCAGCGATGAAGCGGCCAACATCTACGAGCGTGCCATTGGAACCCTTCTGAAAAAGAACATGCTTCTCTATTTTGCTTTTGCTGACTATGAAGAAGTGAGCATCGGGTTTTGTATTCGGCACAAACCAACTCAGACAAATTTTAAAAAAACCTCGGGTACTTATTTCTCTTTGCTACCCTGGCAGAGTCGCATGAAGTACGAGAAAGTGCACAGCATCTATAACAAACTGCTGGCCATCGAGGACATCGACCCCACCCTGGTCTACACCCAGTACATGAAGTTTACCAGGAGGGCAGAAGGCATCAAATCGGGCCGAACCATCTTTAAAAAGGCACGAGAGGATCCCCGCACACGTCACCACGTGTACGTCTCAGCAGCGCTGATGGAGTACTACTGCAGCAAAGTAAGAACATCTCACGTTTAGTGTCTGCGGCTGCAGAGAAACCGAAATGAATCTCGGCACACAGATGCTTTCACACAACTCTTTAAGTCTTGTTTTAATTTTTTTTTCAACAGGATAAATCTGTGGCCTTCAAGATTTTTGAGCTTGGTTTGAAGAAATACGGTGACATTCCAGAGTACATACTTGCGTACATCGATTACCTCTCACACCTTAATGGTACGGATAAATAGCATTGCAAATTTCTAAAGCCTCTTTATTGCTGACTGCTGATATCACGAAAGGAATAATTTTATTTTTTATTATTTTTTGTGTGTATGTGTCTTATTTTCTTCTCAGAGGATAACAACACCAGAGTTTTGTTTGAGCGAGTCCTCACCTCTGGAAGCTTAACTGCAGAAAAGTCTGGGTAATGTCACACTTTAATGAAGCTCTGTGTCTTAATTAGAGCTGTGATTTCTGACCCGTGCCCAACCCGACCCGAAATTAGGGCCAGGTGGGGCCAAAATTATGTGCTTGATGGTCGGTCTTGGGCTTTTGATGCAGTTTTACAAATCATACAGCACAAAGAAAACTAAACTAGAATGCACGATATAAAGTTGTGTTATTCAACTTGTAGAGGAGGAGGCAGTAAGTTTACTATGTAGAGGATGAGCAAGAAAGAAAATGGAGTGCAGAAGTTAATCAGACTGTGAAAAGAGAGAGTAGCGCGGTGCATTGCACAACAATTACACATGTGGCCCCGCCTGCCCTGCTTTTATCACATCTGAGGATTTACAATTGACCCTCAACAAGCGGCTTAATGGAGCTGGAGAGAATTAAACAAATGCTAAAAACAGGAGAACTCACTCTACAAAACCAGCACAGTGAAACCTGCTGATGCATGTCAGGTGCACACTCAGGTCCAACTGGCCGGTTGAAAGAGGTAAAAAATAAAAATTTAAAGTCCCGTTAAGCTCCCGGTGGATCACTGGATCATCGGTCGCGCGCGTCCCGCTCCACACCCTGCTCTCATCTGCGGTGAAGGAAGTTGCAGCATCTGAATCTACAAAAGCCGAAGCGCGTTCTATTAAAATAGCCTTGTTCTATATTTTTTTCAAATAATTTTGCTCTAATAATGTTTTTGTTCATCTGGATAATAGTCTATCTTTAGTGTAGATTTTTTAGGCTATTTGTTTTGTATGTTAATATCCATTTGGTGACTTGTTAATAAACAAGAAATCTAATATATTACTTTCTTTGAAATACATTTTTTTTAAACTATCATGCCAAACTGATTGCTTACAAAAGCTGTAAAAGCTTAATTTAAAAAAAAGTCTTTTTTTTTTTTTTTTTTTTTTTTTTTTTTTTTTTTTTTTTTTTTTT